TATTGGTTTATGAGAAGTAATAACTACATTTGTTAAAAAAAAATGAAAAAGAAAAGAAAGGTAAGGTAACTGTTTTTTCCCGGTAGCTAATCCATTACTAAACATGCATAGAAGATTAATAGGAAGACAAAAGGCAGAAACCTTAGAAGATAAGAGGATCTAAACAAATTTCAATTGGGCGTACCTGTTTTAGGTGTCTGCAACCAATCCTGACAGCATACAAAAGCTTCTATGATCTCAGGACCCAAGTCATTATTCTTTGTATTTGTTATCAGAGTGTTGAAAGAAGAATGGGGTAGATGGGTGGATATGGGAGTTGCTAGGATATCACGAGCCATCCTACCAAGTGTGGGAAACCTTAGGCTATTGATGCGCCACCAATCTAATATATCAAAGAACTCATTCTTATCCGAGGGAACTAATAAAGGTTCTTCTAAGTAACAATCAAGCTCTGACTTCTTTAAGGCCGCCTCATCAAATTTGTTCATTGATGCATATCTCCAGAAGGAATGCAAGATAGAATCATCAGCACTCTCGGTCGTTGAGCAGCTAGAATCACCAAATATGGAAGCGGGTATTGTTTGATTGTCATGTTGATTGGCATATTCATAATAAACATCCATAAAAACTCTACGAAATCTGTTCAACTGCATCTTACTATCACAGCGGTAAATTTCACCATATAAAACCTCCACAAATTTAAATTTTAACCGTGGGTCAAGAATAACTGCAATAGCAAAAATCAAATGATGGATGCTCCACTAGTTATCAAATTTCATCTTCATCAACTTCATACAGTTATAATTGGTTTTTTCCAACTGGAGAAGTTTCCTGTATAGACCACAGAGCTTAGGAAGGTGCACATTTGCAGTAGGAGATTGATCAGTTCCCCCGAAACAACTTAAACTTTCCTTCAAACAAGTGTGCATCACCAGTGCCCTATCCCATTCTTCATTCGACAACATTATTCGAAATTGTCATTATTTTGCTCTAGTCGTTCTCTTGATCGTAAAACCCAATCAAGCAGGTCAAAGCATGAAAAGTTCAATCTCCTCCATGGTATTCCAAAGATATATCCCTTCAATTTCATTATCTTTAGAAGCAAATCATCTATCTCAAGTAAGCAGTCCTCAATGAGAGTGCAACGGATGTAACAACCGCCGGAGGGAAGGAAAGCTTGGCCACTAAGACAATATTCTTTTATTTGTTCAACTACACCATCCTTTAAAACTGAGCTATTGACAGTTATGGAGCATATTTTCTTGCTAATATTCCATTCTGAAAGTGACCTTCGAATGATTTCACTAACAGTACAGAAACCCTCGAGAATCTTGAAGGCAATAATCTTCTTTTTCAATTTCCAATCGCCATCAATAAAGTATGCTACCAAACAACAATAGTCATTCAACCTAACATCGTCTGCCCAAAATTCAATTGTTAAACTGAAGTTAGAGTCAAGCTGACCAAAATATTGGCGAAGTTTCTCTTTCTCTTCCTTGTAGAGGCGATTTATGTCGGATAGAATAATTCTTCGTGATTGAAGTTGGAACGTTGGCTGTAAAGTGCTCAAAATTTTTTTGTAAGATTCATCTTCAACCGCATCCAATAGACATTGATTCTTGATAATTGTTTTCGCAAATTCAAGGCGAGTCCTTTCCTGATCAAAACTTGAGTTTCCTTCACTGGCACCTCCACTTTGAGCAGGAAATTTGACTTTCTTACTTGAACATCTTTCCAAATGATTTTTCAGGTGCGTGGTTCCACTCCTGCTTGACCCTGTAAGGTCCTTATCACAATAATTACATTTGGCCCACTCTAATCCATTTTTTCTAAACCTAGTGAAGTGCTCCCAAACCACAGACACCAGTTTTCTTCGTTTGGTTCGTGGGACTGGCGAAATAGCCCCGTTTGCTTTCACCATCTCGGAGTTAATAGCCCTGCGATTCTCTATTTGGGCTCCCTTTCAACAGGTAGAGTAGAGTAGAGTAGACAAAGTAAAAAAACATAAGATGTGTAGCCACACACAAAAATCAAATTACTACCAGAATTGCAACAACACTGAACTTGTTAAACCATTCTTGCTAACTGAAATTCAAAGTAGAATTCCATTTTAAAGTAATTTAGGCTTCAAATAGCATCATATATATAAACATTCGCACAAGCATTGTTTTATTGACTCACGCATTTCTCAGTTACAGTTGAGGAGGAGGAAGAGCTAGCTAGGACTATGGCAACTATCTGCTTCTAATTAATATATATTTCTAATTTTGCCTTTGAAAAAGGTTTTTTTTTTTTTATAAGCTTGCTTTTCAATATTTCATTGAATAAAAGTTTGGGTTACTTCAATTGTAACTGTCTAAACAGAGAACAAAAGATTTTCTGGGCATAAGTTCTATAGAACCTGTTAGTTTTGTACATATCACACCTAGAAAATAATCAGAGGTCAAGACTACTTTCCAAATTTTAAAACAATTAGAAGGTTTTTGAGTACAAGTGAATAGTTAGCTAGAGCATAAAGAATTAATTAGTAAGGCATTAATTTTCATGGAGAAACTAAGAGTACATCATTGAGAGTTCAGTGATTTAAGAAACAACTAATTCTTTTGTTTTGGTGAATTACAGATACTTATTTAAAGAGAGAACCACATGAACATAAACTAAAAAACTTTGCCTAAATCTTATCCCAACTAATCATACATAGCTAGACATATCCACGACATTAATTAAAAGTATTGAGTGCTAATTTATGAGTAAGAATCAAATAATAATGTCAATACAAAATTTAAGATGGGTACCTGCTCATCTTGAATATTATCTGTTCCTACGTGATGACGGTCCATCGCGCCAGTTGTATTCAGTGATCTTGTTTCATTTGAATTAAACAAATTATGACCAGTAGTTGAGGCTGGAACTGGAAGAGAGTTTCTCAAAGCCAATTTCACTTCCTGAGTACTGTTTGAAATGGCTTCTCCCCGGACACCAACTGGTGCAGTACCATGAACTACTCTTGGTCTTACAAATTTCTTTTGGATATTTTCCAAGTCATGTAAGATGCGATCTTTCAACAATTCCGGTTCCTCTAAATTCTTCTTAGAGGAAGGGAAATAGAATTCTAGCACATAAACATCGTCACCAACATAAGGGTTACAAAAGCTGATTGCAAGAGCAGCTCGAGGACCAAATTTTCTTGCAGCATTAGCAAATGGATAGTCACGTTCATCAAGCTCTGTAATATCTTGAACGAAAAGGCTCTCATTTGATTGAAGCAGTTTTCCAGCAATAGCTTGCCCTTCTACGACAAACTGATGTCGTTCACATGTATTCATTAACTCATGAGAAGCCTCATCATTATCATAACAAGCAGGCTTTTGGATAAATAGAGTACCTTTCGTGTATGGATCGAGCATAACTTCTGTTGGGAGTTGCTTTACATTAGCCCAACAAGTCCATGTTAAACCCAATGGCAGCTCATATTTCAAACATACATATTGCACTAGGTCATACATCTCAGCAACAGCAGCAACCCGGTTCAATGTAAAACACTGCTAATAAGTGATTCAAATGGATTTCTTCAAAAAATAAAAATAAAAGAAACTATATCGTTTAGGAAAAGCAGATCCCATCCTTAAGTTAACACTTTTTCCTCATCTTTCCAATGCAATTTCTAATTTGCATTACTCAATACCTCCCTAGAAATATATATATATTTCTAATTTTCTTTAGAGCAAGACAGACAAAGCATCAAGTGAGCAAGTTCTAATTTGTTTTATATTTTATATTATATATTTGATTGGAAATTGCAAATAATATACATATAGTATTCAATTATCTGTATAGAAGAAAAAACATATAGCAATTTTTTAATCTCATTTTCAATTATAGTAATATAATTAAAAAAAGTTACTAGTTTTGATTCTTAAAATTAAATTGAAAATTTGAGCAAGTGTTATTCGATTTTAGGATTGAAAGAGAAAAATAAATGAGATGAAAAGGATAATACCTCAGTTAAAACTTCAAAAGTTTGAAGTACATTGTTGTATAGAGAATTTTGATGGGAACCTGTTATGGAGGTTAATAACAAATTTATCACTAGCAAGAACTTAATTTGATTAAGCAAATAAATGTTTTACTGTCTTCAAATTTAAACTTTAAACCGTTAAAATTTAAAATTTCAACTTGAAGACCTAGAGTTGGAAGGGTTTTTATGATAAAAATGGTTATTTTTTATTATATAGTATGGTACCATATGTACAAAAAAAAAGAATAAAATTTATATTCTAAATTAAACTTCATAATATTTAAAGTATTTTTCCAATTAATTTATTCAAGAAATTTTGACTAATTGTGAAACAATTTCACTTACTATATTATTATGACGATGTAGATGGATCAGTGAACTTCTTATTGCTTTGTAACATATTCGTGGTGATTGTAGCTATTAATTTTCGAAAATATATCTATTATAGATAAATTTAAGTTTAATTATGTAATTAATTTTTACACTCTATAAAAAATGTGAATGTATTATCTGTACAATAATTTATATAAATTGAATTTTTTTTAATTTTTTAATTTCAATCCAAACTTTAATACTGTTAAATTATGTTTTCATAATTTCTACAAAATTTACTCAAATATTTTTTTCTCCATTTGAATTGACCAATTAGAAAATAGAAATTTGAAAAGGAAAAAAAGGTGATGTTTCAGTGTTCTAACAAGTGTCCATAAAGTTTCTCTCAATTTTTTTCCATTTGTTTTGAGAAACCAATCCATGACTTGAAAGGAGTCAGTTAGCAAATGTAACGTCTACACGTGCCATGTCATCAAATATCACGTCAGCATTTTTTTAAATGAAAAAGATATTATTGATCACAAGAAAATTAATTGGTGTTCGATTTTAGATTAAAATTAATAAATAAAAAAAATACAATGACTTAATTTACAAAAATTATTATTTAAAGATCAGATCTATATTTTTTCATAAAATATAAAGTCTAATTGCATCATTTAACCATAAATTTATTTTAAAGTTTGTCTTTATAACTTGTTGTTTGTTATTACTCTTTGTAATCTATGATAATCTAATCACCAAAAAAATCTAGTATAATCTTTCAACTGGATTAGAGGCGAAATCCATACTTTGAGATAAGTGTGTATTATTGATCCTATAAGTAAATTAGGGATGAATATTCGCTACAACTACTTATTGAACCTTGAACAATGTCAATAATTGGAAAGTTATTAAATCTAAGAGAACTAAGAAATTATAGAATATTTTTCATTTTTCAACGTAATGTAGTATATTTTATTTTATGTAATTACTAGATATCATTTAAAAAAATGTGAGAAGAGGTAAAGTTACTTAAGCAATGTTCGTAAAATTATTAATTTAAAATAGTAATAAAAATGAATATTAAAAATAAAAAAAATAGATCGATAAATTTTATTAAAAATCAAAATCACAAAATTTAAATAACTTAAACAAGTTGTAATCCATGTTATGTTAATCAGCATATTTATTAAAAATTATGATAAAATTTTCAACTTCTAATAACAATTTATGAAATTTTGTTTATTAATACAATTTTTAATTCAGTGTCATATATTTTGATATAATCATAGAATTCTATTAATGTATCAGTTTTGATTTTGACTTTGCCTCTTATTTGGAGTAAAATTCTAGGAAGGCTTTTTAAATCAAACTCGTTATATTTTTCATTAAAAACAATTGAATAAAAATTAAAAAAAAACAATAGATAGAAAAAAACTAGTTATGTGAATCAAGTAAATATGAAATAATTTTGAATAAATTTTCATATTAACTTTATCTAAATAGATTCTTTTTAAAAAAAAATGGGCAAAAGCTTTCACAGTTTAATAATAATCGATTAAATTTTTGTGTCTAAGTATTATTTTTAATTAATTGTTTATATATTATTATGTTTTCGTTAAACTCTGCTAATTAATTGATTTTAATATTTTTAATAAAGAACTTCAAAGTCAACTTTAAAACCTTACCTAAATTTGATCCTTTATTTAATTATTCTAAAAAAAGTACAAGACAGAAGTTGGACTTTTTAAAAAAATAATAAAGAAAGATAAAAAAAATACCTTGAATAGAGATTGAGTGGTGAACGGAATCTGTGAATTTCCAGGCCGATATGATCACCGGTGGCCATTCCTCTACGCTGACCACCAAACACCCATTTTCCTCTTGAACAAAGACGCCAGTTGTCGATGACTGATTGAGTGGAAATGGAAGAAAACCAGCCGCGTGCAGGAGGGATCGCCACTGAGCCATAGTCGTCTCACTTCGCTCAATCCCGTTCATGCCATCACACTCAACCGCACACATCGCTAGCCACGTATAATAGTAAATGTTTAAAACACTTTCAGATTCTTCGAGTATTGATTCTAAGGAATCGACGAAATTGAAGTCATTATGATTGGCATCCTGCTCTACTGTTATCACAAATTCTGGCTTTATCTGCCTCAACTTTAACAATTCTCTCTCCATTGCTTCTGGCTGTGCCAACAATCTGTTTAACTTATATACATACCTGACGATCACAATCTCATCCTCTGTTCGTCTGAATTCCAGTTCAGATGCTTCCACATCACCCAAACCATTGCCGATAACCAGTTTAAACTCCCAGTCAACGTTGACCAGCATTGTTTCCTCGGCTGTTGCATATAGATTTTTCAGGAACGGTAGTGCTACAACACTTAAACGGATTGATGATGGGCGGCCAGATCCACGAGATGAGTCTTCAATTATGTCTTCCCAGTCATCTGGATTTGGCTGAAGGAAGTCAATGATGTGGACTCGCTTCTTTCCCATCATAGCACTAAGGATGGCCTTTTCGCAGATTGAACGATGCGGGCGTGGAAAATATACGAAGGGAATATTAGGATACAACCGGTAAGCTCGGCGGACTAAAACTTCCGCACAGCGTCTCCTTTTCTTAGCGACGCTTTCTGCTTTGAGGGATTCCAGTTCGTTGGTTGCAGGATTCCAGATCCTGTCCAGGAGCTGATCGGCAAGTTTCAGGTTTCCATCTCGAAAAGCTTGAGCGCAGGCCTTTAAGTAGACCAATACAGGAGACCCCATAACTCTAAGCAATCCAAATACCGGTACATCAGATCCGATCAGATATATATATATAAAAGGAAGAAACTTTGGGCTTCCCACAGACTAATGACACACCAAATTAAAGCCAATTAAAAGGCGTCCAAACAACATTTTACTTTTACTTTAATACATGTAATGTTTTGACTTCGTGGTGCATTTGTTGGATAACATAATACTGTTAATGCATTTGTTGAATGTTTACACTGTACAGCATTGGGTCCTCTTCGGTTACTCTCTAAGCTGTCCCACTCCCCCTCCTTCTATATTCTTAGATAGCTTTGCTGTCCGTTTTTTGCCTCATTCTCCTTTTTACCTCGTGAAATTGAGTTCGAGAACGGAAGACAGTGTACGCACCCACTCTAGTATATTCTTAGTTTAATTAAATCGTATTATGACATATTGTAACATCTAATAAATATAATTAGGTTTTTATACAATAAATATATATTAAATGCAAATAGTAAATATTGAAAATTATGTATTATGACTTTTATAATGAAAAACATAATCGTTTTAAAAGGATTTTGTGAATAACTTATTAATTTTTTTCGAATTCATAAATGGTAAGGAGAAGAAAACTCATAACATATTAGTATAATATTGATGATTTCAATCTTTCATATTCTATTAATTAATTATTTTAAAATAAATTTTTAAATATAAAATAAATTAGTTAATTTTATTTGAAAACCTTTTCATATATATTCTACTAAACACTTAATTTAACTAGAATTGTATGAAAAAGAAAAGTTATAAAATATTTTCATGTTGACTTCAATCTTTTTATATTCTATTAATTAATAATTTGAAAATTAGCTTTTGTTAAAAATGATAGGGATAGGAAAAATTCTAAGACGTTATCATATTCATTTCAATCCCTTCATATTTCATTAATTAATAATTTAAAAATCAACCTTTGGAAAAATAAAATAAATCGAATTTCATATTCTACTAACTACTGAATTTTATTAAAATAATGAAAAAAATGAAAAATCATAAGACGAAGATAAGTGGATCAAGGCCCAAAGATAAAGATAAGTAGATCAAAATAAAAATCCAATTGGGTCCTAATAAATTAAAAGATGCGATCTAAATTTTTTTAAAAAATTAACTAGGTTAAATGTTTTGTTATCCTTGCTTATCCATCAATAAGCTAAACTGAATCTAAATCTAATTTAGCTGACATTTAGTTTGATCATGTCAAAATTGAACGTGATATGTACCTAGTGATTAGATATTCTTATTTACAAGAACTCTTTAATCTTTTTTGGATAAAATACTTTTTATTTGAAGTAGAATAAACTTATCTTAAAAGTTTAAAATTACACTTAATTACTCCATGTTTATTTCAATTATCTTTTTACTTAACACCTTTGATTTTAGTTTCAAGAATTTTCAATTTTTGTTTTATTATTAAATATTAGTTTAATAAATTAAAATAAAATTCTAATCATTTTCAAACTCTTTGATTTTTGAAAACTTTTCTATTATGCCTTTTTGAGTAAATACCATCCATGATCGTGAATATTTATTTTAATTCCATTTTAATCCTTAACTTTTGAATTATTCCAATTGAATCGTTAACCTTTTAAATCGATTTCATTTTGATCCTTTTATTACATCATTTTATTAACAATTAAAAAAATATTCATGTGAAATGTCAAAAAAAAAAATACACATAATGTGCCACATAATCTACAACGTGGACATTACACCAATTGGAATGAAATGATTTGACCAAAGGATTCAAATGGAATAAGCATAACAGGTTAAGTATTTAAATGGAATAATTTAAAGGTTTAGATTTTTTTTTTTGGAATTGAAGAAAAGAGATTTAAATTTTATTTTTGAGAGGTTAGGAATTAAAGTGGAAATATAATAAAAGATTACGAACCATAGGTGGTAATTTATTGATATTTTTCCAATTTTATTAAAGATAATAAGAGGGGAAAAGAATCAAAGCATTTTGTGAGTAATTTAAAAAAGGGGAAACAAAAATTTGTTGCTTGATGAATCATATATTGCGCTTAACGCACGCAGCAGGCATGAGGCGTGGAGGAAGCGGCCCTCACGTGTGCCCACGCCATCTCCAACGCGACTGCAAATCTAATCCAAAATCCCCCAACGTAATCCATTTTTCTTTGCTTTTTCCCTATCTTTTAATTTTACTCCGTCGAATCTCCACGAAATTATTGCTAGTGTGTATAGTAATAAATTAAATTTAAATTAATTAATTTCAATTCGTCAAAGGAAAGGAAAGAGAGAGAGAATAATAGATTGGATTGAATTCTCCACCAACTTTGTTCTTCTTGGTAAGCTCTTAGTAAGCAAACAGTCACTCACTTTCTCTCGCAACGGATTTTCCGAAGGTTTCCATCAACATTCCACTTCAAATAAAGTCTCGCCTTCCAAACAGCCCCAGAAACTGGCTCATCCTTTCTCTCTCTCTCGGTCTCTTGGTTTCCTCTCTCTCTCCACTCCGCCTTTGAATTCGGTAAATCTCACTCTCACTTGTCACTCAACCCGTTTTCAATCTCTAAACGGTTACGTTTTGATCTTTAATTCTGGATTTTAATGCTTTCTTTTTTTCTCTTCCTTTTTTTATACGCTGTTTTGACTTGTCGGTTAAATGGACTTTTATTTTGTTTTATTTTGGGTGAATCAGCTGATTCAAAATGCAGGCGTCAACTCATTTAATCGAAGGAAATTTAGGATTTGATCTTTCAAAACGGAGAGAATTAGCTTGTTGTGGCGAAGTTAGGGAACGGAATTTAACTTTGAATCGTAATCTTTGCTTTGGAAGTGGTTCCATTTGCAGTGGTTTACGCTCTAGTGCCGTTCCAATGGGAGCTGAGCTCGCACGTGCCAGAAATGGCATCGAAACTGTGGTTCGCTCTTCCGTCAAATCTCGATCGGTCAAAGCTCAAGTTTCTGGTCTCTCTCTTTCTTTTTTTCCCTCATTTTCTTTAATTTTATTCGGTTAAACTTTTTAGTGAGTTAACGTGAGATTTAAAAAAAAAAAAATTGGATGCCTTTGTTTTCTTTATGTGAGAAAAATTGCTTAATGAATGCATTGCATGCTAGGTTAGATTGGTTTTTCTTTGGCTAATGATAGAGAAAGGCACAAAATATTGGTCTTGTTAATTATCTGCATTTTTTTAAAGTTATTAGTACATATTTCAAATTTTTTGTGTGCAAAAAAGCTTTGGAGGCATTGCACCGCCGGAAAATTGTATGATCATGTTGAAAAAATGAATCCTTTAGGCTTGGTTTGGTTGTTAATCTGATACTTGCTTTTTTGCTTCTTGAAAAATTGATGGAAAGTAAAATCTTTTTCGACTGAAACTGAAATGTGACACACACTCAAACACTATTGTTCCCTATCGAAGAAAAATCATGCATTTTGGTGTTTAAAAAGTATATTTTTAATTTTTAATTTTTAATTATTTAGGAATATTACTTGATTTTGTATCAAAGCATGCTTTTTGCTTTCTGCTACTAGTCACAAAATACAAATAGCAAAGCCAAATGAAACCTTGTTTTTTTGAAGTGATAGAGCAAATTGTACAAACTTTTATTTCATGAGGTTGCTACCGGTATTATATCTTTTATAACACCATGGTGATGGTGTAGATGATAACTACTCACTTACTTTATTCTTGCAGGTGCGACAATTTGATGATTTGTTGTGTTAGTTTAATTTGAACAGTACATTCTTTCGACTAAAATCTATTAACTTGTGCATGGTTTTGTTGGTTATGATGGATGTTTGCTAGTCACATGCTTGTACTAGATGTGATTAACTGATGTCTTAGTGTATTAGTTTTGTTGGAAGAATGCATTCTTCCTATTCAAATGTATTGGCCTGCACATAGGTCATTTGTTAAGCATCTGCATCTGAGTCTTGTAATGAATGCAAAAGAAGTTAGTCATTCTAACGTGCTTTAGTTATTTACTCATGTTTCTATGTTCTTACAAATGGCAATTGGAATTAAGCTGCAGGTGGAGACGTTGAGGACTTGACACCAATCAACCCTCAGGGGAAATCTTCTGGGATTGTTCTGCCATTTGTTGGTGTTGCTTGCTTGGGAGCTATATTATTTGGTTACCATCTAGGGTATGTCCCAGTTCAACTCAGAAGGAACATGCTCCTATTTTTGGCTCTACATTTGTCTTTAGTGATTTTGACATCTCAATGATATACCTAGGCAATCTTCTGTAGAAACAGAAAATTATACTCTCAATATATCAAAGCATTAGAAAGTATCACTATGGTTCATTTATGTGGCTCCCTAAAAATATATGGTGCCTGCAACAAAGTGATGATTGTGAATGTTTTCAGTATTTTGTAAAATATTTAAACACTGGAGCCATTAGTTATATTCTATTTTTAAATTGTTGTGGAAATTTAAGCAAAGAATCCATTATCAATATTTGGGCAGTTGGCATGTTACATTTTTTATCATACGGGTTGTTTATTTGCCATGTTTTTTGATAATGCTGCACTTTTCTAATTTTCTCTCCCATTTCTTTTTCTTTCTTCAGGGTGGTAAATGGCGCTCTTGAGTATCTATCTAAGGATCTGGGGATTGCTGAAAACACTGTCTTGCAAGGCATGTATTGTGATCTTTAATTACCATGCAAATTCGATCTCTGCTTTTGTTTCTTTTCCTGTTCCTGTTCATTTTCTTTGTTGTTTGTTTCTAAAATATTTTACAGCCATATTCTGGTGTCTGATAAACCAAATTTCCATAACATGTTTATTGCATGAAGATTATTTAGTGAAATTTTACTGAAACAGAGGGTATACAACCACTGTATACTGTGTTTTTCATTTATAAGAGTGAAGTGGGTTAACTTGTAATAATTCAAGCAATGTAAGAAGTTGTTGGATTGATGTTTTTGCTTTTTCTCAATTTGGTTTTATTATACACCTAATTTGTTAATCTTTAAATTGCCCGATACTTGCTAACTTATTATTCTGACATGTTAAATTGAATAGGATGGGTTGTCAGCACACTCCTTGCTGGTGCCACTGTTGGTTCATTTACCGGGGGAGCAC